AGAAAGCAACATTCAAGAGTTGGTTCTCTCCACCATATTGGCCCCAGGTAGCCAACTCAGGTCATCAGACATGGTAGCAGGCACCTTTATCTGCTCAATCATGTTGCTGCTCTGTACCCCACCTCTTAATGGATCTGTGCCTTCAAACCTGAAACATTGGGGACCAAGCTTCTCACACATGAGCTTGTGTGTGGGACAGGCCATATCCAAACCAAGTATCTTACCATTGCTCATGAAGCAGAGGGGACTTCTGTCTGTGTCTTTCCTCTTTACCCATCAGCTCCTCAGGAAGGGATCTCCTATTATTAAACTCAATAGAAACATGTGGAGACCGCCCAGATAAAGGGAGCAATCCTAAAAACTGATTGACTGGGTCTTAACCCTGTGCTTTCGGCCTTCCTTCTCACCCAGCAAAAGCTTAGGATACAAGGCAAGGATATACCTGGAGGCCCTCCAGAGAGGAGGGGTCACACCACAGAATTGGAGATTCTTCTCTTTTCTCTTGTAGATGTTGGATCAGCCTTTTCATGGGCTACTCTGTCTGGGAAAGTCCACAGGGAAGCCAAGTGTATGGCTAAACTGGGAGCCGTTTGTGTCCCAGGACTCTCGCTCATGCCCTTTCTCTTGAGCAGTAAATTACTCTTGGCATTGAAAAACATGCTTTGGTGACATGTTCCTGATGGCCATGGGAGGAACAGAGTCTGGATGTCTGAGTGCAGAAGTCATGGCTCCAAGCTCAGGCTGACCCACCTGACGCCGAGTTAGTTAGTGTGAAGAATGTCACTGACTGTGGCCCTCGGGATGACCAGTAAAAGGATCCCATGACTCACGGTGGGTTCCATGGTATGCAACCATGTCTCCCCAGATGGAACTGATGCCCTCCTGACCAGCTGTTGAGGAAACTGTCGCTCCTATGAACCAATGTGACAGTGATGGGACACTGTGTTCCTTAGTGGCTGTCACTCTATTCACAAAGAAACTGCATTGCTCAAGGGCCCTTCAGAATGCAGCTGATGCAGAGGTCAAATGTCCCATCTCACTTTTCTCGAAAGGAGACCCCTGGCTTTCAGGCCACATGAAGTGGCGATGAACTGTTAGAGTCTCTCTCCTCAGCTCTGCTTGCCTCACTTCCTTCCAGGTGCACCTGCCAAGACCCTTAGAGTTTCCATCACAGGGCTTGTTTCCAGGCCACCTAAGCTAGGTGACCTTCTCTTTATGGATGCTGTTCCTCTAGGTTAGCTTGGTTGGGTGTGGCATTAATATCATCCTAGAAAAGTGATTTGACTTGTATAGGGAAATAAATCTTATTGGATATAGGCCTCTGACACATATTAGACCTCATTGCCACAAAGGGCTTCTAAGGGAGGCCTAGGGAGAGCCAGCAGCATCAGAAGGATCAAAACTCTGCAGCTCTAGAAACTTCCACAGGAAGTAAACTCAAAGGCGGGTTGACAATGTGTTTCAAGTAGCACGAATGTGTGGCATGCCAAGAGGAACCGCTGGAGAGGAGATGGCTGTGAGATTAGCAGAGATACTAGGAAAAGTTGGAAACAGGACAAAAAAAAATGAAAGAGAGAAAAAAAAAACAAGGAGGCAAAGGGAACTTTGTTTAAAGATGGGAGACTTCGTTTAATTTTCTGGATTAGTTACTTTTAAATGGTTTACTTAAAAAGAAAGAGTACATCTGTTAATTTGCTGCAAGAGGCTTTGTAATTGGAGAGCTAATGGCCTTCTATGGGATGGGAGTGTGGCTATAGATTTGTGTAAATTAAACCTCATGATTTGTGCCTGCTACAAGAAGCCCCACCTGTGTGTACAATGTACTTAAAGGATTAGGGCACACTTTGAAATTATGATGTGTTTTACCTAAAGTAGTCGTCTTCCCCCTTAAGCTTTTATTTCCTTGAAGGAAGGAAGGAAGACCACCAGCTCTCACAGTCCATCAAGCCCAGGAGGTACTTTGTGGGGCTTCAGGAAGGTTTAAGTGCAAGGGGGGCTGGGTGTGCTGTTTCCATGTTTTAGTGCAGTAATAAAACTTACCTTCAACACTTGCGATCCCATTTCAGAGGAGACTGGGGCACTTAGGGTGGGATGGCTGCAGACTTGTGATTCTGTTTCCAAGGCATCGCTTTACAAGAGGTTTACAGGACTTTGAACATAGGTGACAAGTTTAGGAGTGAGAGGGCCAGGGAAGACAAGAAAAGGGACTTTTTGAAAACCGTGGTCACCCTGTTCTCCCAGAGTCACTAAAAAGGTGAACAGTTTTCATTTACATACACGGTATCTCAAGACCTAGTATTTTTATTTTTGAGGTCTTTTGTTTTTTGAGACAGGATCTCATGTAGTAGGTTGATCTCAAACTCACTATGTAGGCAAAAAATGGCTTTGAACTTGTGATCCTGCTGCTTCTACCTTCTGAGTGTTGGGATTACAGGTGCAGCAACAACACCTGCTGCAGGTGGTTATCCAGCACAGGCAGGAGTAGCTTTTTTCTCCTCTTGATTTACCAGGGTGGGAGGAAAAGCCACTGCTAAAAGAGTGGCCCTCATTGGCTGTGTGCTGCATTGCCACTTAGATGGATGGCTCCTGTGTTTGTCAGGCCAGCCCAGCCAAAGGTGCTGTGAGAACATGGTCACTGGGAAAACACACTAAAAAGAAACTATTTGTAAGAAGCTAAAAACCACACACAGGTGTTTAATAAAGACATGAAGACTTTATTTTAAAAACACTCACATGTTGCAAAAAATACATAGAAAAATAAAGCTTGATTAGAGTGCTTTACCAAACTTCAAGTCATAAAACTTTTATGTCACAGATCAGAGTGGGATTTGCTGATTTATGAAACAGGATAGAGATTGGTCACCCAGTAATATGGTCCAGGCATCATCCCATTCACATGTTCCAGACAACAGATAATGTTTCAATATTTTCCACCAGTTCAGGTGTAGGTGAGTGACTAGTTCCAGTGGTGAGAAAGCAAAACGGAGTCAAAATAATTTTAAACACAAGCTTTCCCTTCTTTTCTTTTCTTTTTTTTTTGCCACACACTGTGCACTGCTGCAGTTTAATCCTTGGGAAAGTTCATGCCGAAAAGGATTCAATTCAGAATGAGAGAGAAAGCCAGCACTAACATGATTTAAAAAAAAAAACCCACAGATTAAAAGGAGAAGTGAACTGGACTCCTCTGCCTTTTGTGTGATCTAGCACTGCCACAGTGGTCAGCAGCAGGAGGCAGCAAACAATACTTTAACATGGTTCCTAGGCTGTTTAAAAAACAAAATACCAGGTGCAAGGGGCCAAATTTCTATCAACTCCTTTGGCAGTTTTGCCACCACCAGTAAATTGGCCCATTTAGAAGGAGGAAATTAAAAGATGTCTCATGGCACAGAATTGAGTGGTAGGATAAAGGGATTTCCTGGCCCCAGAAAGCCTCGTTTGTAATAGTTGTACCCTACCTTCCATGTCTCCCATTCATCAGGTTACCTGAGGCAACAGGATGGAAATGGAAGGGCTGACATTCTTTTGCCATCTACACAGTTCTCCAGAGCATTTACACGGTTTATCTGTGGATGAAGCCACCGTGATGGTGCATTTTGAAGACAGTTTCTCTTTCCTTAGAACATCTTCCTGCAAAGCTACCAGCCCCTTGCTTGCTGGTTGGCCTGGGCTGACAGCCATGCCCTGCCCAGGGCCTGTCCACCTCTCTTAGATCCCTTGCTTTGTACTGTTTTTCCTTCTGCATGAGAACTGGACAGCACTAAACCTCCTCTGCCTAAAGGGATCCCCAGGACCCCAAGGCTGTAAGCCTTTGAACTGTAATACCTAGCCCACAGCCCTGTGAAGCTGCTGTGATCTTCAACTCTCATGTCTTTAAAAAGGAATTTGATGTTGAGTATTTTTAAAGGAAAGAAAGTTGCTAGTTTTTTTTTAATTATGTCTTTTGGTCAATTTATAATCTGTAGTTATTTTTTTTAAACCAGGAAAGATAAAACTTGAGGGGGGTTTGCATATCTTAAGCTAAATAAGATACACATGCATAGATTAAAAGCCTGAACTGAGAAGTCCTGAAGGAAAGAAGGAAAAAAAAAGGAAGATCCTTTGTTATAAAATGCTATTGCTTCTGTCATAATGAAGTGTGAACCCAGACCTGAAAGCTCCCCACTAAGCTCTCTGTGAAGGCAGGAAGGGTGGGCAGAGGCCTTTTCTTCAGTCAGTCACCACTGAGGCGCTCACCTGAAGTGTGGAAACTCCCTAGGCCCTGCCTTGGACAGGAAGAGCCTGTTTCAAGGCCCACCCTGGCAGGCAAACTGTTTACACAGCTTGTCTTAAACCCCTTACTGTGTGCACCCTGCTCCACTCAGGGTGCCCTGTAAATCCTTGAATTGGTATATTACTGCAAAAAGAGTTAAGAGGTTAAACATTCCATCTCCCACCCCCTTTATGCCCCATGCCAACCTGCCTCAGTCGCTAAGGTCTGTTTTCTTTTTCTTCAAATCTTCCATTTACCCTCACTTTTACAAGGGCAGAGAGAAACACTGGCCATTGTTCAAGGCCAACAGGAGATGTTTTAACCCAAGTTTAATTCAAGAGGACACCCGCATCTAAGGGGTCCTTCTTCCCTTGGCCTTTATGTGGTGCTCAGATATGGGAGAGGATGAGGTTGCAGGGACAGAATTCTTAGGAACCTTGTAGCCATTGCATCCAAAGTCATGCTGAGGTCTAGAAACAGATGAACTTGTCTGGCCCTCTCCAGACAGGGAGCAGAGAGCAGTGACCTACAGAACACTTGGAACTGTGTGACTAGATACTAAAAATAGCCACTGCCCCCGATCTTTCACTGACCCACCAGAGAAGAATTGGAACATTCCCTGGGAACCCCCAACCGTTTGGGTCTGTACACGTCCTGTTCCCATCTCCTTGACCTCAGCCATTCCGTCTTTTCCCCAGAGACTCTCCGGGAAGGCAGTTTCTGATCTATGAAGTTGTCATCAGAACTGCTGTTACCAGAAAGTTGGACGCCAGCTGCCCAGACAATAGAGGTACGGGTAATAGGGGTAGCTGGTGTACATGGAGACCAATGAGGTGCTGGATAGGCTGTCTTCTTTCAGGGCTGGCAAAGATAAAGGTGAGCTCTTCTCCAAGACTCCCAGGTCTTCTGCCAGTTGCTTTCGCTTAGTCTTATAGCGTCTATTCTGGAACCATATTTTCACTTGGGTCTCGGTGAGTTTGAGGTTCTTGGCCAGATGAGCCCTTTCAGGAGCAGACAGGTATTTTTGATGGCTGAACTTCCTCTCCAGCTCAATCACCTGAGTGTGAGAGAAAGCAGCCCTGGAGCGCTTCTGAGGCGGCTTGGGGACCTGGGGGGTGCTTGATAAGTCTCCTGGAGTGTGTTCACAGTCCAACAGATAAGTCTCAAAATGCCCATCTGGAGAAGAGCAGAGGGGGCAGGAGAAGAAAAAAAGTTACACGTTAGTCCAGAATTCAAATCACCTTTCTGCTTTTGGCCAGCGAACAAACAACCACTGTCCTCTTTTTTTTTTTTTTTTACACCCCCCCCCACGCCTGACTATGGAACTACCCCAAAGGAGAAATGAGTAGGTTTTTATACTATGAATTCGTTTCTAATAATCAGTGTGAACTAAGCGTAGGGCTTAGTGTTTTACAGTTAAACTTTCTGCTATGTTTTCTTATGTCATTGAAAACAGGAATCTGGATACGTGTGTGTAGCAGAGAGATGGGAGGCGCCAACAAGGAAACCGAGGCGTCACGGGGGGCATTTAAGTGGGTGACTAGGGCTTATGGAGATGAGCCTGGTGGCCTGGGCTGGTGGCCAGTTCATCTTCTATCCCAATCCTCTTTCTATAACAGAGGCTTAGTTACCTGCATAAGAAGTGATGGGGTGGGGGTGGGGCGACGGCAAAAGCCGACTCGACGTTATTTTAAAGACTTAAAGGAACATCCATAATTTTATAGCTCGTGGAATGGAAACGCAAAGGGAGCCTGGGGATGAGCTTGATTTATGAATATTCATGGGTCACTATTTGTTTATCGTTTAGTTCTAGTCGCCAGCGGTAACCGGCTGGAGTCGCTGGAAAAGAGTCAAGCAGATGGCAAAGTTGTTAGCAGCCCTCAAGACTGATGCCCAACGTGGCTCGGTGCCGAGGACGGTGAAGTCCTTCCGGTGGCCACGGGCCCCGCACGCCTGCATCCAGAGCTCGGGGCCACCCGCCTGGGAATAGTCTTCTTCAGTGTAGCGCGCCCACCTCTAGGTCTATTCTGCTTACCTGTCTCGGGTTCAGCCAGCGTCTCCGCGGGGCCGGGTCGGGTATTTGGCTGGTCCGCTAGAGCCACGCCGCGACCTCCTGCTTCCTCCGGGTCTGGTGCGCGGTCACTCCTCGGGTCCGACTGGCGCGGGTGCTG